TTTTGTCTTTAGCCCAGGCGAGACACTTCTGAAGCTGTGTCTTGTTCAAGAGTGGCTTGACACAAGGAATGCAACAACTGAAACCCATGTCTTGCATACCTCTGTGCGTGGTGGTTCTTGAAGCACTGACTCCAGCTGCAGTCTACTCTTTGTGAATCTCCCCCACATTTTTGAATGGGTTTTGTTTCACAATCCTCTCCAGGGTGCGGTTATCCCTATTGCTTGTACACATCTTCTCCTTCCCTTCGCCTCTCTATTAATGTGCTTGGACACAGAGCTCTGTGAACAGCCAGCCTCTTTAGCAATGACCTTTTGTGTTTTGGCCTCCTTGTGCAATGTGTCAATGGTCATCTTTTGGACAGCTGTCAAGTCAGCAGTCTTCCCCATGATTGTGTAGCCTACAGAACTAGACTGAGAGACCATTTAAAGGCCTTTGCAGGTGTTTTGAGTTAATTAGTTATTAGAGTGTGTCACCAGGTGTCTTCAATATTGAACCTTTTTACAATATTCTAATTTTCTGAGATACTGATTTTGGGGTTTTCATTAGTTATCAGTTATTATCATCAAAATTAAAAGGAATGAACACAGTCTGTGTGGAATGAATGTATACATGTTTCACTTTTTGAATGGAATTACTGAAATAAATCAACTTTTTGATGATATTCTAATTATATGACAAGCACCTGTACATGTCAGAGGTCACACGCAATTATGGGTTAAGTGTCTTGCTCAGGGACACAATGGTGGATGGGTCACAGTGGGGAATTGAACCCGGGTCTCTCATACCAAAGGCATGTGTCTTATCCAGTGCACGATCACAAGTAACATTACTGTTTAATAATGATATACTATTTTTTGTGAGGTTCATCAGTGGGGATAATTGATTTAAAGCACATTTTTAAGAATGTTTAGAGTAATCAATAATTTATTAAATCCTTCAGATTTTGTGAAGAATCTGTGGTGATAACTGTGTTTGATCAGTGTTCACTGCATCTACACAGTGTACACAAGCGTCTGGAAAGGACCTTAAGAGGTGGATGCATTATTCGGCAGAACGGATGTTGTAGGCTACCTACAGAGATTTACATTCACCTTTTTTGTCAGCATATGAGTTTCTCCGGCAAGGTGCATGCAGTGCACAACACCTGTGGTGAAGACAGGGAGCTGGGTGTTAATTACGGCAATGTACCTTAATTGGGTAAAGTTATATTAGGTGTGTGACAGCTGCTTCTTTGTCATTTGGGGGATTAGAATTCGCCCAAAAAATCAATTATTACTATTTAATATCCGCTGTCAAATGTCCAGTAGCCAAGACTATTAACGTTACTTACAGTTTAAGCTGTGTGTAGCAGACGTGGAGGCGTCACGACCTCAACAGGAACTGATCGCTGAAAGAAATATACTGAAAAACATCTTGTGACAAATATAAAAAGTACTTTTCTCTCTTAAGTGTCCTATTCCAGACAATAATTTTGCACATCACTGCCAACAGCAGCAACATTTCTCACAATAGGTGTGGGAAATAACTATTGTGATTTATTAATACTTTAACTGAAGCGGCAACATTTCACAAGTTAAATAACTTAGCCTCCAGTCATGAATCTACCGCTTGCTTATTATGTTTATGACAAATAACATAAATCAAGTGACAACCAAATAAACGACTCGTAACTAATGTTATGTAAAAGGGTTAATTGATTTGCTAGTATATAAAGTAGATTCATGTAGTGGGACCAACGGTGTGGATTTGTGCATTTTATATTAAATACTTGGGAGACTCAATTCCTCTTCTCTTCCTGAGAGAGAGAAGCAGGGAGGTGGAGATCAACTTTCAACAGACGGCTGAAGAGACCCCAACAGAATGGGGGTGGAAAGGTCGCTTTCTCTAAGTGCTATTCCTGAGCAGCCTGATCGTAAAACTGGCACCTTTGATTCCGAAGCCTGCTCTGTGTTTCATTACCTCATCAAAGGGATACTCCGTCACGCCTAGATGTGACAAAATCTAGAACACCACGGACAGCCCTGAAATTTGTGTAAACAAAGACTGCAGTCTCCAAAGACTCAAAGCATTAACTGTTTAATTAAATAATCTTTTAGTTACCTGATTACATTTGCCTTTAGTTGAGTAGTTATGTTACCATGTTGTTCCTATCTGTTGTTGATATTATTGCTGAAAAGAATCTAAATAAGTTACTTTTGCAGTGTTTTTATTTTCAGCAAGATTAAGGACACTCCTTCATCTTATGTGTAACCAATGCTTGTTCACAATACTTTCTCACACAATTCCTTTAGAAATGATGATAAAGAAATGTCATACTATACTCTATTAATTGCCGGCTTGAATTTAAGGCTAAATAACTAAATTTCCCAGTTCTTAAGGAAAGATTGTTTTGGATTAATCTAAGCTTTCCTCATGTTACCTGAGCTCCCCCAAGTGGAAGAAATAAGTATTACATACCATCGTCGGAAATGCCATTAATGTATAAATGTCACTCATTTATCATGACCAATAATTTGACAATTGTTTTCCTGTTACCAAATGCTTAACTTAGAACGGTACAACAACAAACCAGTGAGGTTTGATTGTGGAAAATATTTGATTATAATATGAGCAAATAGATTTTCTTTTCTTTTATAGACATTAAAAGTTTAGAAGGACTGCACCCTGGGGGAACCACACCCCAGACCACAAAAGAGCGACACACGACGTCTCTCGCTCTCTTCTCTTCCGCTCTGCTCTGTGGTCGCTTCGGCATGTGTCCGGCGTGACTCTCCCGGTAACGCCATAAGAATTTGACCAGCGCAACGCAGTCTTTCTTTCGCTTGAAGCTACACACGCGAAGTGTCACGACATCGATTTGTCCCTCAGTTCCAGCAACTGTACTGTTTTTATTTCCTTTCTTTTCGTTTGTTAAAAGTTATCAGTCCGTTAAGTTACACTAGTTAATTCAAGAATGACCCGTTTCTTTTAGGCTTTTTCGTCGAGTCAACTTCACCGAGGTCAGACCAAGCCACGTGGTCTCGCCAGCGGCAACGAAGGAAACCTGAATACAGCCGAATTGCCAGACTGAGGACGGCCAACCCTTGAGGTTTTTCTTCAGACACAGAGAACCCTGGAGAATCCCTAGCAAAAGCCAGGATTGGGCAGCTAGCGTGGGACCCATGCAACAGGCCAAAGCAGGCCGCCGACAAGCAGTAAGACCCAACAAAACATTCTGTGGTCAGGGAGGTCCCATAGTGTTAATATTGTCTTTTTAGCTCCTAAACTCATAGCTTACTTTCATTAGTTCTCCTCTGCCGTATGAGTCAAATGCTTCCCACAATCAAACCTCCATTCTCATTGTTTAGCCATTACTTATTTCCCTGATGTATTTAACCACCTTTTTATATCACCTTAGTTAGTTAATAAATTCACTGTAACCAAGGAATTGTGTGTGTTACCTATTTCTACGTCCCTGCCAAGAGAATTGACCCTTTAGATATGAGACTGACTGATTGATTTAAGATAATTGAGCGATTATTAACTAACTGATCACTGGTGAATAAATGTATAATTATTAAAAGCTACCTAGAGGTCCGCAGACTCTAGGTTAATAACAACTCCGGTGGTGCCCCTTCTTTTTCGAAACAAGAGCTTTTTAAGGATTAATATATTTTTGAATATTAAAATTCATAATTGGGTATTCATTCTCATAAATTTATTAAAATTCATAGCTAGTTTAGACATGCTACATTCATAGTAACTGTTGACTGTCTGACATTAGTCTCAATAAAATCTAGTGTTGCTAATTACCACTTTACCAATTTACATATTAAAAATCATTTTAGCATTTTAAACCTTGTGTAGTATAATGTCAATAACAGATAAATAGTTATTTTAAGTGTTGTTGTATAGTTCAGGTAACTTACCTCAAGTGTAAGCTGGTAAATGGCCCAATTTGGGCTTCAAAACTGCTCTTCAGAAACCAACGGGTGACATCACGGACACTACTTCCATTTTTATATACAGTCTATAAAAATGATCCACTTGCTGTTTTTTTTGTTACCTCTATAACTGCATGCACAGTCTCAGCCTGTACTGTACACACAGCAACAACACAGCAGCTAATGAGATGGAATCCACTAAAACCAAAAAAGCGGGCGGCTGGCCTCGCGAGACTCTCCCACGGGTTGCCGCAGGCTTCCCCGCTGCCACTTGCAGAGCTCCTCAACTCCGAAAACTTTCAAGCACATTTTTGTTCCGCCATCACTTTGCAATGATGACGCAGTGAATAGTGATGATTCTCTCTGAGCAATCAGTAGTCTGCCATGTTTTCACGTCACATTTTGGTATCACCTCAGTTCGCTTGGAACCTCGACGGAGGTACAAAAAAATGTATATAGAAGCAGGTACATGTACAACTTTTCTACAATGGAAAACCAAACAAAAGTGAGTCAAGTCGAGCCGAGTCAAGCTGGTACCGTGCAGTGGAAAAGGGGCTTTAGATGCAAAAAACATTGAAAAATAGGGTCCATGTTGAAAAATACAGAAGTTAGCCTTAACTACCTCTATTTTTCACTGGGGGCATTTCTGTGTTGACTGGGAGTTAGGCTCAGAATTGTATTTTCTTTTGGGGCAGTTTATGGTTTAATTTTTACGTAGAGCCAGTTTGTTTGTTATTTTGCCCAGGGATTTCCCTGATGTTTTCTTCAAGCTTCCATTTTTGGCAACAACAACAACAAAAAATTAACTGCAGACCAACTTGAATCCTCATATTCCTCATATAGTTTTATGCCCCCCCATGTTGGTCAGTTATCTACTGACCAACATGGGGGGGGGGGGGGGGGGGGGCATAAAACATGGGGTCAGTAGATAACTCAATTTTGAAAAAAATCACAATAGATAAATAGATAATAGACATAAAATGTTTGAAATGTTAGTGAGAACTTGGGATTAGTTTGTAGGACAGTAACATTTCCTTCCAATTTGTGGTTATTTCACAGGTTAGCATGACCAGCCATAGATCTTGACATTACTTTATTTAAAAAAAGAAAGAACTGACAACAATATTGTTTTCTTTTGTATTCCATAGTAAATCTATTGTAAACAAACTGCAATTTCTATCAGAAAAAAATCACAATTAGCACTGTACACCGCAATAGTTAGCAGTCCATCCAATCTGACCTGCCCATACCCTGTTTTGGGGCGGCGTTTAACATTGGTCCTTCTCAGGAGGTTTATATTTTCTCTCTACAGTCATATTTTGGGCTTGCGGATGAGGAGGTGGTTGAGTCCTTCGTTAGTGGCTCTGATGATTTTCCAGGCATCATGGTGCATGAGGCCCTCCAGAGAACAGCCATTGATTGACAGGACCTCATCGCCAACTTCAATGAGCCCGGACAGCTCTGCAGCGCCTCCTGTTATAGAGAAGTACAGCAATTCAGCCTTACTTAAAGATACACTCTTGTTTTCCCAAAGTTTCCAGAAAACCACACACTACTTTGAGGGTAAGGTGCAGAAGACTTCAAGGCTGAAAGTGCATTCGAATTAAACATGAAGAGAATCTCATTTTTGTGGTATCATTCCATTGTATAAAAGCTCATATTATTAATTATGTACATTGCAGCCCAGTTCTCAGCCAGAGCAAAGAAACCTAAGAATATTTACAAAAAGAGGTCAACGACAAAATTTCAGCAGTCATTTCAGTCATTTACAATGGACTATTGTCATGGTCACAAGTTAACATTTGCTTTTTTATTGGTTGTCAATCTCAAGATGGTGGGTCTTAGCTAGTATGAGCCTGCTAGAGGGCACACACCACCAGTGCTTGAAGTGGGCCGGAACGCACCGGTACACATTTTCTTGCTACCGGGACTTCTCTCATGCTGCTGGTACTCTCCTCTGCCCTCTCCATATCAGGTTCTCTGGGCGCTACGTGACACTCCCCTGTTCCCGTTCTCACCTGCCTGCTAATCTCTGTCGGCGGAGAGAATTGAGGGAGAAGAGAAGCTCGGGTGCCTTTCAAGCAGCCGTGTGCTGAATGTAGCTCGTTAGTGTCACTGTAGTGTCATGAAACAAGCCAGGATGGGGCGGGACATTTAAAAATATTGACAGATAGGTGTCATTTACACTTGGGAAGCTGGGGACATGTCAGAATCAGAACGTCTCCATCACTTTTTTAAAGCTTTTGTTAAAAACAGCTTGCAACAAGAAATGTTGAATAACAAATTAAACAATACACAATAGGAAAACATGCAATGCAACTGAAACACAGAAGAAACAAAAGTTATTTATTGTCCAAAAGCTGATTACTGCACTATATTCCATTATATTTTTCTATTTTGAATTGTCACCTGCCACCTTAATTTTGTTTTCTTTATGTAAATAATGGCATCTCCTCCATAAATTGGTGCAGAAAATGTGTTCAAAATGCAGGAAATTAAGTGGTTCTTGTGCAAAATTGTATAATATTTACTAGTTTCATCTTGTGGTTGAGGATAGTGCGATGGGGGAGTACTGGCACCTATTTTTTTCCACTTCAAGCACTGGAAACCACAGTAGGTAGAATAGAGGAAGAAAGAGGAGAGTGGCTTGCTGAGGAGAATGCAACTCTTTTTCGAGATTGTGACAGGTAATGAATGATTACCTTCATCCCTGAAGTATCTTGTTTTAAGTATCTGTCTGCATCTGTTAACCTAAATTAATTACCTAATTAATTACTCTTTATAATTATATATATTGTATAAATCTTTCCTGACCTCTGGGTCATTAACAGGACCTGCCAGGACTCAATGATGACATTAATATAAAGTTAAAGAGAACTGACCAATTTACGACGGGTGGCATGGCATCGACCTAGCATTACCCAAATTTGTCATTATCCCAGGCTCAGGATGTTCCTGGACTGAAAATCTAATGTACAGAGGAGACACTCTTGTAGTGACCTGCAGCAGGTGTGTCCGTGTAAACAGTCATTATGGAGATAATTTATGTGGTTGTCCTATGGATTATTATATGGATCTATGGCGTTTAACCTCAATTACAACGCCCAGCAAGACAATACTCTCTGGAGTACTTAATGCAATGGGACGCACCGAATCGTGTGGACATGCAGATCATCTCTTCATTCAGGATTTAAAAACAGAGATCTCCAGGCACAACACTCACAAACGGGACAGTACTTACTCTGCTAAGGTGAGGAGACAAGGGAAAGGAGGAGATATTAGACAAAGATTAAAACGTTACAAACTGCAACGCATTCCACTTCCCTCTATAATCCTTACAAATGTTCAGTCATTAAGAAATAAGACCAACGAGCTGCAGGCTAACACAAACTATCTACATGAATATAGAGATGCCTGCATTATGGACTTCAGCGAGACATGGCTTAGGTCAAAGGATACCGGCTCTGACAGGGACACAAACGCTACGGGGAAATCCTAAGGAGGAGAGTATGTGTTTACATAAATCAGTGATGATGCAGTAATGTCTCCATCAGGGCATCCATATGCTCAGCTGACATTGAACTGTTGTCCGTCTCGGTCCATCCTTTTTATTTTCCCAGGGAGTTTCACCAGTTATTTGTGAAAGTGGTGTATATGCACTCAAAAACAAATGCCCAAATCGCTGCTGGCACTATTTTCAGTGTGACTCAAAGACTTCAGTCCCTCTCCCCTGATGCCCTATGTTTTCTGTAAACTTAAAAAATCACAGAACCCCCCCCTTGGTTCCTTCTCCCACAGTAACATCTACCTTACCCCTGTATACAGGACATTGCTTAATAGAGAAAAGGTAAAGACAAGAGAAATCAAGGTTTGAAGACACTGTCTCTAAACTACAGGGATGCTTTGACTGTACGGATTGGTCTGTGTTTAAAGACTCTTCCTCAGATATTGATGAACTCACTGATACTGTATGCAGTTACATCACATTTTGTGAAGACACTGTCTTAAAGGTGAGGAGGCAGAAAGAAGAGAGGCTAGGGGAGAGGTCCAACCAAAAATTAGGAGGGCCAAGTTACAATATAAAAATAAGTTAGAGGAGAGTTTGAGCTTGGGAGATCAGTCTTTAGCTACTGTAGCTAGCCAGTCCCCGGTAGTCAGTGCGGAACGGCCTGAGTTAGCCTCTGGTAGCCGTCCTCCGGCATCCCCTGTGCAGCCAGGAAGGAGGGGGGGCTGGGCGACTGTCCGAAGGAGGAATAGTCGTAAGCATTCAAAGTCCACGGGGCACCATCAACCTGTTCACGTTTCTAACAGATTTTCCCCACTCAGCGACACACCCGCTGAGAAACCAACTCTGATCATTGGCATCTCTGGGGCCAGAGCAGACGACATTGAGTCTTATTTGAAACTGCTGGCTAAGGATAAACGTAAATACAGTAAGATTGTTATTCACGTCGGCGGTAATGACTCCCGGTTACGCCAATCGGAGGTCACTAAGATTAATGTTGAAAAACAATGTCGGACACCGTAGTTTTCTCTGGACCCCTACCAAATCTGACCAGTGATGACATGTATAGCTGCATGTCGTCATTCCGCCGCTGGTTGTCAAGGTGGTGTCCAGCAAACGATGTGGGCTTTGTAGATAATTGGCAGACTTTCTGGGGAAGACCTGGTCTGATCCGGAGAGACGGCATCCATCCCACTTGGGAAGGAGCAGCTCTCATTTCTAGAAATCTGGCCAAGTTTATTAGTGGACCAAATCCATGACAACCCAGAGTTGAGACCAGGAGGCAGAGTCGCAGTTTAACACACTACTCTGCCCTTCTAATTCAGCAGTTACCCACCCAAAACCCTACGCAGAGTCGCAGTCTAACACACTTCTCTGCTCTTCCATTTCAGGAGTTACTTAGTGAAAATCCTATAGTGACGGTGTCTGCCCCCCGACCATCAAAATTATTTAAAAAGGTAAACAGAAGAGGAGCATAAAAACCTCATAAAAATTAAAACCACAAGAGCAATAGTGCAAACTAATAGGAGAGTTAAATGTGGACTCTTAAACATCAGATCTCTCTCTTCTAAAGGTGTACTAGTAAATGAACTAATATCAGATTATGATATTGATTTATTTTGTCTTACTGAAACCTGGCTGGGTGATGGAGAATATGTTAGCCTAAATGAATCCGCCCCTCCCAGTCATATTAATACTCATATTCCTCGAGGCACAGGCCGAGGAGGTGGAATTGCAGCTATCTTCAACTCTACTCTACTAATCAGCTCTAAACCTAAACTAAATTATAACTCATTTGAAAGCCTTGTTCTTTGTCTTTCGCACCCAAGTTGGAAATCACTGCAACCAATTGTCTTCGTTATAGTGTACCGAGCACCTGGCCCATATTCTGAATTCTTATCTGAATTTGCAGAGTTTTTGTCAACTTTAGTCCTTAAAACGGACAAAGTTATTATTGTAGGGGATTTTAATATTCATGTGGACGTTGAGAATGACAGCTTTAGTACTGCGTTTATCTCTCTGTTAATTTCCATTGGCTTCTCTCAGAGTGTTCATGAACCGACTCACTGTTTTAACCACACCCTCGACCTTGTTTTGGTGTATGGTATTGAAATTGAGTCACAGCTCTATTGAGCCAAGTATTCCCATAGCTCTCAGTAGTTACGACTTCATGAGCTTCTTTAATGATAAAATTCTAACTATTAGAAACAAAATTCACCAAGACCTGCCCTCAACTGGCACCGACTTATCTCTAAACCCAAGAACCTTAGAAACAGCTGTAAAACCAGATATATGTTTAGACTGCTTTGCTTCCCTCAATCTTTACCAACTAACTTCAATAATTTCTTCATCTAAACCATCAACCTGCCTCTTAGACCCCATCCCGACTAGGCTGCTTAAAGAAGTTTTACCCTTAGTCAGCACTTCTATACTAGATATGATCAATCTATCTCTATCAACAGGCTATGTACCACAGTACTTTAAAGTAGCTGTAATTAAACCTCTTCTGAAAAAGCCCAAACTTGATCCGGATGTTTTAGCCAACTATAGACCTATAACTAACCTTCCATTTCTCTCTAAGGTTCTGGAGAAAGCAGTTGCTAAACAGCTGTGTGACTTTCTACAGAGCAATAGTTTATTTATTATTATATATTATTAATTATTATTTAGGATTAGGATGAGGATTATTTTCAGTCAGGATTTAGAGCTTATCATACCACAGAGACAGCACTGGTGAAAATTACTAATGACCTCCTTATTGCATCAGACAAAGGACTTGTCTCTGTACTGGTTTTATTAGATCTTAGTGCTGCATTTGATACCATTGACCATCAGATCCTATTGCAGAGACTGGAACATTTCATTGGCATTAAAGGAACCGCTCTAAGCTGGTTTAAGTCCTATTTATCAGATCGATTTCAGTTTGTACATGTTAACGATGAGTCCTCCATGCATGCCAAAGTTAGTC